TGTGTCTTGAATTTTGGCTTCTATGGCATATTTTTCTTTTCCTTATGAATGCGCGGCACAGCCCTCCTCCCTGCTTGCGTGAGGTAGATGTTTCCCTGAAGCACTTTTTTGTCTTCTCATTTGTGTTTTATAGGGGTAACAATAAAAGAAAAAGTGTGATCCAGGTAAGTTGTTTGTAGTTCTAACCAATAAGAATATTTAATGTAATGTAAACGTGAACATAGGGGGCGTTTTCGCGGGAAAACAAGTAACTGATGCAAAGGACGTGAAAAGATGCTAGAAATCCTGAGCGCAGGAAAACATACTATAGTACCAGACGTTGTAAAACATGCAACGTGTGCGAATAGCGAATGAGAGACAACGGCGGGAAAATCATGCGTTAGGTACCAAACGTAATAACACGTGCAACTTGTGCAACTCGGTAGCCTCCGTGAAAGGAAGTATTGTGTTTTGCTTCTAAGCACCAAAAGTCATGTTACTCGTCTTACGGCTTATACTATACGTAATGGAAAACCTGGTATGAAGCGGGAGACATGAAACCAGACTCGAATGAGGAAAAATCAGTAAGTTTTGACAGTAGAGAATTCATCTTCCGAGAAAACTCTTTGAATGTAATCCAAAGAAAAAAAGGGCGCGTCTTATGTAAGACGCGCCCTTTTTTTTGGACGCAAACTTGACCGTACAAACGGCACATGATTTCGTTTGAAATAAGACGCGACTTTTAATAACTAAGACGCGTCTTATCTAAGAACAGGTGTTAAGGGCTGTTCTTAGACAAGATGCATCTTTTTCAGACGAAATGTGCCGGTTATACGGTACAGTTTGCGTCTTATTTAGGGCGCCTTTTGTTTTTCCTCGTATAAACGGCGTTACTGTCTATCTCATATTCATTCGTGCTTGAGTTTCCCCCACCTCAGTTTGTTGTTTTTATATGCCGTATATGGCAACTAACGTTGCTTGTTTTCCCATATCTTTGGTAGATGGAAAAAGAGGAGGAAAGACGAACGGAAGAGGAACTTCAGAAGAAAAGAGAAAGAGTTTTATTAGACGACAGAAAGAGGAAGAGAATCAGTTTATTAAACAGGTACGTGGAAAGTGAATGTTTCGTTGTTGTTGCTGCTGTTGTTTTTTTTTTTGTACTGCCACTGCAATCAGTTTAATCTGCCTAAACGTGTGGTTAACGTTTCCTAACCGTTTTGTTTGCAGAGGAAGATGGAACACGAAATGGAAAGGAAGAGAAAAGAAAGAGAAGAGAAGATTAGTTTCGGTGACACGTTATCCTCCAGTACTGGACAAAGACAGACTGATGAAGAAGTTGCTCTTGGATTATTTTCACTCACGCAATCGAAAATGAAAACACTATTGCAAGCCTCTATAATCGATAGTGAGAATCATAGTAGTTCAAAACTGTTTACTTTAAATTGCAAGCAGACGCTTCTAGATACGGAACCGTTCTTGCTTGCCCTATAATAGTTTCTTTCCGTGAACTAGAGCAACAAGCTCATTTCCTCCTTCAGGTTGTTGCGAGTGTAAACCAAGTTGTTGCCAGTGTATAGGTCCTAGTTGCTCAAAGCGTATAACGTTCTCCACCGAATAATATTATTTTCTATCCAGTGGATTAGTATTGCGGAAATCAATTGCGTTATCCAGCAAGCAAGCACAGACAAGGATGCCGCTTTTAAAAGCAAGTTGAAATGTTTAAGATGACTAATAATGCTAAAATCACAAAGGCCACATTTCGGTTTTGTCATTTTGAGTGATCAAGGGCTTATACACAACAAAATTTGAAGAATGATAAAATTGTTTACAACGTGAACCGTGGTTAACTGTAACATTCAGTCGGTAAAGTTATTTGTCTGTTTATTCTGTTTCAGGAAAAGCGGCAACAGCGAACTACAGCCATGAAATCTTTATTTGAAAGCAAAGGAGCCAAAAATTGAAAAACAGAGTTTTATAGTATAAATAGAGACTAATTTGAAGTTTTTGCTAGACATTTCGTTAAGAAAGTATTAAACGGTCGCGCTGTATTTAGTAAGTCCAAAACCGTTTCTTATGATATATATTTTTTGGAACAAACCTGTATTGAGCATATGTACCGGATACTAGAAGCGCTTGCCGCCAAGACAAAAACCCCGAAAAGTTTGGATGGAAGGTTAATGCTGAGGTCGTTTTCTCGTAAATTCCAACGGAAAACTGATTTAGGACTACATTTTGAGGTAGTCCAATCATTCCGGTCGGTATGGACTAAACAAACTGTCGCTTGCCATTTACCCTTCTCTGCGTTCAAATCCGTCGATTTTTATATTCGCGCCTTTTTTTTATCAGATTCAAACGGTAAATTTCTCCCGTGCGCTCACGTACCATGGTCAGGTGGTAAGTACCTTAGGGAGCGTACTCAATACTGGCTTCTGTCTGTGTTCCTGTACGTATTAAAGGAGACTTACGTACTACAACAAAGAGCCCAGGAGTCACAACCCCTGAGTAGTGTCTGTGTACACATTGGCCATCTTGAACAAGTAACTATCTTTGGGGTGTCAATCATAAAAAGGTGTTTGGCTTATTTTTAGTCCTCCATAGAGAGGTGTCTACCTCACAGATGAACCACTTTTAGAAGTGTTCATCTTCGAAAGGTGACAACTAGCTGGGTCCAGTTTTAACATGATTTCACTACATCTTAGTAGTGATAATTGTTTGCAATGGCGGATCCAGGGGAAGGGTCCGGGACGCCCGCCCCCTCCCCCCTTATATTTAGACCAAACCAGGAGCCCATGACCAAAGTGTGGCGCGAACGGCCCCCCCCCAAAAAAAAAAATTGGAGACCGGGCACCCCCTTATCTCAAGGTTTGGATCCGGCACTGGTTTGTTCCCTTAGAACAGTCTCAGTAATCTTGAGTGGGGCTAGGGACCAACCATCTCATCCGGAAGCTTTCCTGGACAGAATTGGCTTTGGGCTGATTTAACTGTAAGGCGAGGTCCATACCTGGTGACCTGGGACCGTTTAGTAGAGAAGCATATCGTTCATTAACATTTTTCCCTATTCAAAAGGGATTTTTAGTCTTTTATCGGTGGAAGAAAGTAGCATTCCAAAGCATTGCGTGATATGGTTCTGTTTATTTACAAAAGCGTTGTTTAACTTTAAATTAATTTTTTTCTAATATTTTTTTCTGTTATCCTAACACCGCCTATAGTGGTTGCTTTAACTCTTTCACTCACAGAAAAGTCCAAAGTCTAAAATGGACAGAAATTCCAAATTTCATTCTACAAAATTCGGAGAAACAAGTGATACAACGTAAGAGCACTGCCAAAGAGGTCTCATTTAAATGGTCACAACACCGGATTTCATCCGCAGACTCAAAAGTTAGAACAACCTCATCGATCATTCGTTCTGGGGTGAAAGAGTTATTTACAAAAAAGCCTGCACTTTGCCTTAAGATATATGTTATACCTACTACCATGACTCTTAAATATTGGTAAAATGCAATTCCAAAGAGGATTCATTCTTATATAAAAATAGTTTGAAAAATAAACGACAGAATTAGAAATTGATTTTGCAATCCCTTTGGCTTTGTGTTGAAACAAGATGCTTTTGCATAAAAGTGATATATCTCATATCTATCCATTTAGTAATGATTTCTCTAAGGCTAGAATAATTAAGTATCTTTGAATAATTGTCGGAAAGTGAAATTTTATCGCTGAGATTACTTTGCAATTTGTATCCTCAATATATTGGGCAAACCTATGCCTGAATTTAAGCGGGTAGTGAAAGTACATGAAATAAAATGGGAATATAGCAACAAACTTTACTCTCTTTTTTTTGTATCTGGATCTCAGGCTGTCTCCACACTAACTCATTAGTGGACCTTGAAAATCTTCGAATTTGTTAACAAGATGCATCAATAGCTCCTTTCCCATGCAGCCAGGGCAAAAAGCGAAACTCTCGTTAATATACTTATAAGTCACTCCATCAAAAAATAAAATACAGTAGTGTAATTCTCAACGGCAACGGCAACGAGAAAGGTCTAATTGTGCAGCACATTTTTTTGTACCTTTCTCTCCCTTTGTTGTTGCACAACTACAACATGAAACTTCCTAGTTTAAAACACGTTTATGGAAGAAATGTCGTATGTTCTTGCCTGTCTTCCTGTTCGATTTTTTGGCACTGCCGCTCATTTTCACCTTGCTGGTCGCTAGCACTTCTCATTTTCTTACCACCGCTATAAAAATTTCATACTTTTGTTCCAACGTCAATCTATGTCTATCATCCACGTCAATGAAGACATTAAAATTTAGTCGACGAAAAGACTCGGCTTTATGTTGGTTTTTTTCCCTCTTCCAAAGTGTAGGTAGCGGTCACTTGACTACCAAAATATTTTGTATCTCTGTCGTAATAGAGTCTCTCGATCTGCTGTAACTTTAACAACTGATCTAAAAGCCCTATGTCGGTAAGTGTGACATTTTATATCTTCTTACACGTAGGGGAAAAGGACCGGTCTTACAACCTGAACCAGCGTAAAGGTCATGCGATATTAGTCAGCGGTTGCCCGATTTTGACAGTTGTCAATTAATCTTCATATTTGTAGCATATATAACTGGCGGGGTATTGTCATTTTATGTAGATGTGAAAATGAGATTTGACATCGGCTTATATGTGGTTGTGTACAGCAATAGCAATAAGGCTCCCCCGGAATTCCGCTATTACCTTACCAGGCTTAGCCTATAACAAGCTCTCCGTTAGGACAAAGGAAGTTGCGTATCGAGAGGAAAGGGGATGAGCAGAAGCTGGGACCTAGTTCCCGCTCCCTAAACCTAGCTAAACCTTTTTTCTCTTCAGGGTTCAACCACAACAGTTAGAAAAGCTTCTTGAGTTTGATGGCTGAAGCACGGTGCTGATACTCCTTTGCTTGTTCAAGGTCACCTAAGTCCTTGTAAATTGAAGCTAGGTTACCGTAGCTTGTTGCAACAGAAACATGTTCAGCACCAAGCTTCTTGAGTTCGATGGCTAAACCACGTTGCTGATACTCCTTTGCTTGTTCAAGGTCACCTAAGTCCTGGTGAATTGAAGCTAGGTTACCGTAGCTTGTTGCAACAGAAACATGTTCAGCACCAAGCTTCTTGAGTTTGATGGCTAAACCACGTTGCTGATACTCCTTTGCTTGTTCAAGGTCACCTAAGTCCTGGTGAATTGAAGCTAGGTTACCGTAGCTTGTTGCAACAGAAACATGTTCAGCACCAAGCTTCTTGAGTTTGATGGCTAAACCACGTTGCTGATACTCCTTTGCTTGTTCAAGGTCACCTAAGTCCTGGTGAATTGAAGCTAGGTTACCGTAGCTTGTTGCAACAGAAACATGTTCAGCACCAAGCTTCTTGAGTTGGATGGCTAAACCACGTTGCTGATACTCCTTTGCTTGTTCAAGGTCACCTAAGTCCTGGTGAATTGAAGCTAGGTTACCGTAGCTTGTTGCAACAGAAACATGTTCAGCACCAAGCTTCTTGAGTTGGATGGCTAAACCACGTTGCTGATACTCCTTTGCTTGTTCAAGGTCACCTAAGTCCTGGTGAATTGAAGCTAGGTTACCGTAGCTTGTTGCAACAGAAACATGTTCAGCACCAAGCTTCTTGAGTTGGATGGCTAAACCACGTTGCTGATACTCCTTTGCTTGTTCAAGGTCACCTAAGTCCTTGTGAATTGAAGCTAGGTTACCGTAGCTTGTTGCAACAGAAACATGTTCAGCACCAAGCTTCTTGAGAAAGATGGCTAAACCACGTTGCTGATACTCCTTTGCTTGTTCAAGGTCACCTAAGGCCTTGTAAATTGAAGCTAGGTTACCGTAGCTTGTTGCAACAGAAACATGTTCAGCACCAAGCTTCTTGAGAAAGATGGCTAAACCACGTTGCTGATACTCCTTTGCTTGTTCAAGGTCACCTAAGTCCTGGTGAATTGAAGCTAGGTTACCGTAGCTTGTTGCAACATCGACATTTTGGTCACCCAATAGCCTGATGCGAATAGCGAGAGAATTTTCCAAGTATGTTTTTGCCACGTTAAATTCACAGTGCATTTCACATATATCGCCAAGATTCGACAATTTTTCAGAAATGTCCTGAATATGGACTTGAGACATATTTTCTGTCATAATAACTGTATTAATTGGTACAATAAGGGCGCTTACGTGCGGAATGTTGTGCATAGTGTCCATTGTTCTATTTTCGTGTGGAATTGTGACTATAAATTTGTTAAACGATGTAACAGTTTCACTTACAACCTTGATCGTTTGATTTTTTGTACAGTCACTCATTACCCATTTCATTGCGTCGTGCACAACCTGATGTACACGAATGTTATAGCAACTATCTTCGTCTTCCTCTAAAAGAAGCAGTGAACATCTTCTGAATCTCCTGCGAATGTGCTCCTTGTCCTCTTTATCATCGTGTTCGAGAACGTTTAAAAGGTAACTAACCGCTATGTCAACGTTTAATGGTTGTGGTGCGCACAGAAAAAGAAATCTGAATAGGTGTTCAAAAAATTTGTCGGATTTGACTTGCCCTTCGACAGCTAACGTTATTGCTGTAGTCATCGTATTTGGATAAACTAAGTTGGTATCAGCAAGGGTATCCTCGGTCGTTTCTCGTTTTCCTTCTTCTAAAATCTTTAGGTATTCGTCCCAGCCAAAGTGCTTCGATGCTTTGTCCTGTCGAATGTCTTTGACAAACACAGCCGCGCCTGCTAAAGCGAGTGGCTGATAGTCCAGTTTCTGGGCAACGTTTTCCGCTAGCTTGATGTCGAAGACCCCAGAAAGTTTGGCCAATAAGGAAGTGGCATCGTAAGGATTCATTCCTTGGCTTACTGAAATGTGATTGATGAAAGAGCTTTTTAAGGGGATGGACTTTGTATCCTGGGTTGTAATTAACAACTGACCTCTTGCCCACGTCTCGGTTCCAGACTGTGGTAGATGATCATGTACAAAAGTCAGTTCTGTCACATTGTCCACCACTATTAGCCACGACTTGTAACTCCCAATTTTTGCAGCAATAAGCATCTTGAGATTGGCAATCTTGTCCTCAATTTTCCAATCCTTAGAGCTCAAGATTTGCATCACTGAAAAGTCTGGGCACTTTAACTAACGAGCAAAATTGGCATATGACTCCAAAAGTGAATCTTGACTGGCAGCGTTTATGGTCATCACAAAGGACGAAGTGCCTAGTATTTCTTTTACTTCATCAAAGAATCTTTCAGCTACGAGGCCAGCTAGTTGTGATTTGCCACTTCCTGGATTCCCTGATATGTACAGATAACTCAACCTGTTCTCATTGGCCTTCTTTAGTTCCCTTAGCTGATGGGCTATTTGTGCTACTTCACTTTCACGGCTTTCTATTTCGTGTGTAGGTCTAGGAGGGAGAATACAGAATGACGGTGCTTTCTTTCTGAAGCTGGTCTTCAAGAACCTGGCGCTGGTTCTCTTTTTCTTGAAGTTCTTGTTTAACATCGTCAACCTCTTTCAGAATTTTATGTAATTCGTCGGTTGGGAACGTTTTCTGATTTTTTATCTCATCAATTTTTACAGTAGAGAGACCTAGCGCATGGAACGCAACATGAACTTTGCCAATGGCATTCATAAAATCCATCTCAGGTAAACTTCCCTGTGGTATGTGGGCGAATTCCTCGTTTCTAAATTTTCTAAGATCATCCACATTGTTTCTGACAGTTGATGCAAGGTAGGGCCCGACACAATCAGAGTAAAGGATGGCGTAAAACAGCATTGTGCAATCCCATTCCGCTCTGTTTCCGTTTATCATGGTGGCCAAAAGATGAGCATTTCTTCTTTGATTTCTTAGAGACTCGCCGTTGTAAAAGTCCGTTCCATTCTGGGCCAAATCT